AATTAGACATATTACATATTTCAACACTAAAATAACGAAATGCTTGGATTTATGATTGTCAGAAAGTAATTGCTTTTGCTTTAAAGCTTTTATTTATAGTAATATATATGACTGCCCAACATATTCTAACAGTAATTTATATTCTTGCATAATGCCATTGTCTATCTCTCTATAATGGCATTTACTAGTGTAAACAGATGTTATTTTGTTAGCCAAGAAACAGACTTCTCAAACACAGTGAAATGTGTTTTAGGGCAACCTCGTGGGTTTCCTCTGGGTCCTCCGGTTTCCTCCCACTGCTAAAGACCCCTACATGCAAGCAAATTATTGAAATAAAATTGAACCATATGTTAGTCCCAAAATGACCTAGTTTGTGTCGAGTGGACGTTAAACCCCATTTCTCTCTCTCTCTTTATGAATATCTTATTTCAATATAATCATCCATAATTATGACATTCTAAAGAAGAGACAATTGTTAAATGCTATCTTCAGTAGTTATTAGATATAATTTATAACATACAGAGGAAGAAAAAAATGGATTTTATTGGCACTTAACATGAACTCCTCTTATGAATATTAAAATATAGACTTGAAATTAAAAACAGAATTAAAAAATAATAAAATAACATATGACCAGGACAGAGATCTAATAATTATTCTGCTCCCTCTACACTTTCATTTTTCTATTTTTCTCTAATCTTTTTTTTTTTTTGGACAGCATCTCTCATCAAAACCTTCTACATTTCTTCAAAGACGGAACAGCCGCCATTGTTGGATCGTGTCATGATATTTCGATATAATGAGTCCATTGTCATCTTTACGTTTCCCGAAATAGTCAAATTGATGGCCTGTTTTTATTGTCGCTTAATCCAACCCAGGAGATTATATCAGCGTTAATATTTTGATTACCCGGTATGTTTTCTTAAACATACATTGTACAAGAGCTAAATCTGCCAATTGCAGGTCTTTCTTTAGGCCTGAAATATTAACTTAATTATTAATTAGACATTAATTAACTTATCCAGACTATAATCAACTCTCCATGGCATCGCTAGCCTGCGATATTTACTGGATTATGATTTCATTTGCTGCTCGAATTCCATTCGTAATTTAATCAGGAAATGGATGATCGAGACTATGTTTTTTATTGTACAGACTTTAGTAATGATGATCGAGACTAGGCCGAAATTTCAATTGCAAATTGCCTTTACCGTATCTAGTTTTTAACTATTATAGTGAGAACTGCCAGCTCTTTGTCTTATCTCCCATAATTTATCTTTAATTAACTGTTAAATAGACACTTCTGAGTACAGGTTAGTGTGGATTAAATTTTATATAATGTGTATAATGCACAGTTACTTTAATTATTTTGATGAAAGACAATTTGGTTGACATTGATTAACATGTAGATATATTTAAATTGACTTTAATGGCTGGTAATATAACTTCATGTGATAATTTCAATTTTTCTAAGAAAGTGAAAATATAATCATTTCTATTTCTGTAGCTTAATGGGCTGTCAACTCGCTTTTATACAATCGTAGGTTTCTAGCAAATAAAAAACATTCACATAAAAATTTGAAATATTTTCTACTCGCCCACAATATTTGGAAATGTATCGTTTTTCACAGGAAAATTAAGTGTACATAATGAGGTAAAAAGATAGGACTGTGTAAAGCTGCCATGTATTTTAAAGCTTTATTTTAAATATTTTTTAAACATGTGCAATTATAGCCGCTTTAAATGAATTATTTAAATTCTACCTGATCATAAAGAAGTTAAACTCATTCCTGCTTGATCAATTAGATCATGTTTGCCATATGAGTTCCTCTCAAATCAAGAGCCTTATGATGATAATAATAATAATCTAAAGTAGAATTTTCTTAATTGAATTTTCAGGCTGTTTGACAGAGTTATTGATTCCAACACGTTTTGAAGAAGATGGAAAGCATAAAAAAAATTCTGAAGTTTTCATTATATCGTCAAGCCCATTTTTTTCAAAATTTAGAATTGTGGCTTAAAATGTGTATGGCCATCAGCTCCATTGAATTCTTAAAGGAATGTACACCAAAATTGTCAAATATTATGATTTGGGGAGAAAATGTGAAACTGCCTAAATCAGATTAACAGAAAACAATTTTTATGGGAAACAATCACTGGTTTTATTTTAAAAGCACGACGTTTCGACAAGTATCCTCTTATGTTTTCCATAAAAATTTTGTTTCCCGATCGCTAAATGCCACTTAAAGATTATGCCTAAATCAGTATGACTTAGGCAATAAGTGTATTTTGACTTGGGCACTCTTTTGCGATGTCTTTCACAATCGGGATCAGGAGTGGTCAAGATTTAAGCTACGATTGGACCCCGACGGGTATATACAGCCCAACTGACCATGATCTTCATTGTTTCCAGAATTTCTACAAAGCTTGGTGTTTGTCTTGTTGAAAGCTGATATATCCCGGATGGAACAAAAAAATAGAAAGTTCAACTCCATTTTGTTTTGGGAAATGTTTGTTTCTTTTAATTAGGAAAAAAAATGAATAAAGAAATTTTAGGTTGCAGGATACTCTTCAGTACAAACACACATAGGCGTACGGGGAAATTTTTGACTGCGGGGGGGTGGGTGGGTGGGGGGGCAGTGGTGGTTGGTGCCCAAAAAATGTAGTTAGGTTTTTAGTATGTTACATAATAATAATAAATTTGCTGTTAAATTGGACACATTCAAGAACACAATATTTTTTTTATACAACTTTTACAAAGTACAATTGTGTGCCCAAAATGGGGGGCCACCCCAGCTCGTACGCCTATGCATACACACATACTCTTAACCAATGGGCGTTTAAGTCCCTTGGTCCTTTTGTTTGCATTAGTGATACAGGCTGTACAATTTACACCAGTTATTTACTTCACGAATTCACATCAGAGTCACTTAGCAATGTGTGTATGCACTGTAATCAGGTTGTTGAAATATTCACAGAAATATGAAACTTTTTTTTTTTATTATAAAGAAAATTTTGATGAATCATTATGAATAACGATAAAGAAGAGATACCTGTATGTAATTATAGGTAGATTGAATTAGAGCATGACATGTTCCTATACAGTATAAAATATATATACAGATGGCAGGTGCTTGATCAATAACAATATGATATAAGTAGGATTAGGTGATATATACCAATATTATGACATATCACGATATGAAAATTAATATCATTAAAAAAATGTGGCAATTCTTAAAATATTGTCAGTACCGTGATATGTCAACAGTAGGCCAAAGAGTCAACTGCTGGCGTGGTTTCGATTTCCCGGTTGTACGTGACAAGGAGTAGGGTCGTCTTTCCAACCTTGTGGGTCCTCCGGTTTCCTCCCATTGCTAAAAACCCTTAAGCCTGCAAGCGAATTATTGAAGATGGTTTCACCGTCAAGTTGTCTAATTTTTACTGTCTTGGCACAAGGGTCTTTCCTGTGCAGGGAAACCGAAGTACCCGGAGTAAACCCACGAGATTGAGAAGGTGTCCCTATCTCCAAGCCACGTACGTTCACACCAGGGATCAAAACCACGACTGCCCAGCTAGAGCTCGAAGCATGACACTCTAGACCACTAGGCCATCTCAACACTCCCATTAAACCCCATTTCATTTCGCTGTCTTTTGAAGTTCACAGAGTCATGGTGGCTCAGCGAGTAAGATGCTGGCTCGCTCGCCTAGAGGTCGTGGGTTTGATCCCGGTGTTGCCGGAAAAAGTTCATCAGGATTTTCCGGCATGGTTTTCCCGTGTCAATGGTGAAGGATTGAAGGTCTGACAAGGACAGCTATCTAGTCATTCGGATGGGATGAAAAACCGAGGTCCTGTGTACACATTGGCGTACATGTAAAGGATCCCTTTGCATTTGGAATTGGATTTAAGAGTAGGCAATAGCGCTAGCTGCTGTCCAGGCAAAATTTCCCCCATAGCACACTGTATGGTGTATGCCCATCTTCATTAGCCCAGTTGGCGCAGAACAATAGGAGTTAAACCCCATTTCATTTTCTTTTAAAATGCACAGTAAAAAGGTCAAGGTCAAGTTAGGAAATTCCAATCATGTTATCTTTGAATTAACATCCTTAACACTACAACAGTCAAGTGGTCTTATGGATTAACATCTGTAACACTTGACACTTATGTACCGGATCAAGAATCAATGATAGAAAGTGGTCGGATGAATTTATTGGTGATATAAGTTGTTGTCTTTCAAGTTATCCAACCCGGTTTGTGTAGAAATATACACTGTAACCCGGGTATCATTTAATCTTGTGTATCTAGCACTAATTTCTTTCACATTCATTCAATACCAAATCTTTGTTTAAAAACTCATAAAAATGGTTTAAAATCACCCAAAACCATCTAATTTCAAATTTGTACTTGTGTTCAGTTTAAAGCTGACAGAGTGTTTTATAGGGCAACCCTCCCGATACTTACTAATATAATAGAATAAATGCTATATGTTGAAGAATGAATAGAGTTTTCCTGGTAGTTTGTTTGGTTGTCTCTGATATAAAATCTATTAATAAGCCTGGAGAAATATCTCTTTTTTTTATAAAGATGCTAATTTTGCTAATACAAGATTTGCCTGTCAAGTATTTTTAGTGTTCAAAGTGATGTATTTGCAGATAATATTTCTAATTTGTTTAATAAAAAACCGCATCATTATTAGTAGTACTAGGAGAGGTATGAACTTCTCTGTTTCATATGTCATCATTGTTCTACAGCTTATGTTGCTGAAAGCTGACTTTAATATCAGGATATTTTAATAATCACGTTTATTTGAGAAAATAATTTGAAAAAAAAATAAATCAATGTGTATGACATTGCCACTAAGCCAATCTTTACGATATCTAATGTGGAAGAGACCAGGTACAAAGAGACATTTTTTTTTTTCAGACACGATTTCTTTGAGTTTGTTTTTTTTTAAATTTTGTTTGTTAATTAATATTTTTTTTTATTTATTTAATTTCAGGATAGTTTAAGTACTATGTCTGATTCAACTGTTTCGTCCATGACATCCAGTAAAAAAGATAAAACATGTATAGTCTGTGGGGATCGAGCTCTTGGATATAACTCGAATTCCATTTCCTGTGAATCATGTAAAGCCTTTATTAGCCGTGATGCACATAAGGTAAGGTAATAAACAAACTTTGTTTTAATTAAAAGGTGGAACAGCTGTTGATAAGTATAGGCCAAGCGGTGGATACAGAGGATATTTATTGTCCTCATCAGTTTATTCATCCATCCTCTATAAATTTGCAATATCCCATTTATTATATCATTATTTAGGGTTCTCGCAATACTATACACTTACTCAACTATTTTGGACTGTCCGAACAGTGAGGGTTTATTTTTTCGAGTTTGAGGAGTTTAAAGATACATTATGTAAGATTTAGATAAAGAGCTGGCCATTCTTGCTATAATAGTTCAAAAATAGATAATTTAAAATGAATAATTTGAAAATTTCATTCAAATTACTCTATTGCGAGCGAAGATATTAGCCTATCTGCTTCCAATTCATGCCAGTAAACTATTTCTCCAAAATTATGTGTCTTCATTTACATTTACACGACATAAAATGAAAGCAAAATATCTGTGATAAGAAAAGTTCATGATGTCGAAACCTTGTCTTCATTATAAAACGAAGCATCGACAACCGTATGCAATGCATGTATTGTCGCCATGTTGTTGTTATTTGCCTACGTGACCTTTTTTTCCAGCCAATATAATTGCCATTTAGTTGCAAAGTAATTTGTTAATGTTAAACAAATAAAAATTAAACTGATGTGTATAGCTAATAACAGCGCAGGCTTTGGATGGATACATTTTTCGTATGATTATAGCCTACGGAATATTTTGTTGTTCAGTGAATAGAAAATGATTTAAACATTGCGAGATGGCAAATGGGATGCCAGATGGGAACACGTGGTCAATTCTTACAAAGTGAAATGGTTACAGATAAAAATTATGTTTTGTGAATAAATATTGAGATTCTATATTTACGGGATTATCAAATTTATCGTGAACTGAATGACTGTTAAAAGGTTAGCTTACAGTTAGTTTATTGACTAATCTTTGACTACTTTTAATCTTGTCGACCCACATCAAGGGATTAAAATGACTGTACACAGTGGAATGGTAAATCATGTTTGTTAAACATTTTTTCGCGCTTAATTTGGGACAAGAAACTTGTTTCCCTTAAATTTGATAACTTTCTGCTAATCAAATTAATATTTGATTCACACTTACCGTGTGTCGTTTTTGTTTAGCAAACTGCGATTCTAAACTGCTTATCATATTACCTGTTGGGGAGCCACGGTGGCTGGGTGGTTAAGACGCTGGCTCGCTAACCTGGAGTTCGGGTGTTTTATCCCTGCATTGGCCGAGAAAGTTCATCTGGATTTTCCGACGTGGTTTCCCCTTGTCAGTGGTGCAGAACGGAGGGCCTGACATGGACAGCTGTCTAGTCCTTCGGATGATACAAAAAACTGAGGTCCCGTGTATACATTGGAATGCACGTAAAAGATCCCTTGGCAGTTGGAATTCGATATAAGAGTAGGCGATAGTGCCGCTGCCCGGGCAAAATTTCCCTCATAGCACACTGTATGGCGTATGTCCGTCTTCATTAGCCCAGTATAGGAGCAGAACAGTAGGACGTTAAACCCCATTTCATTTCATTTCATTTCATATTACCTGTTGCTTGACCTTTTGGGACACATAAATTATAAATATGCAATTAACTTTCTACAGATCATTATGTTATATTTATATAAAATGTTATGAAATCTCAAAAGGCACAATCAACATGTCGTTTATTATATAAAAACATAGAAGTATATGAACCTTCATAGATCTAGAATACATTTATTTGGCTGGATCCTCTTGGGGTTCTTTCTTTTCTTATATCTCTTTGTCGGGAATGATAGGTGTTTCCACAAATTGCTAAATAATTACGGACATTGTGCAAACATATGAATTGGAAATAAGAATGTCAAAAAAAATTATAAGAAAAAGGTCCAAACATTTTTTGCGTCGCTTCGATTGGCAAGAACCTAATTACGGCCTACTCATATATTGAATTCCAACTGTGAAGGGTTCTTGAGAGGTTATGCAGACTGTAAATCTGTTCCTCAATACTTTATATATTAGAGAGGTTATGCAAATTTTAGTCAATCCTTTATATAGTAGGGAGGTTATACAGAAGTTAGTCAATCCTATAATAGGGAGGTTAAGCAGAGGTTGGTCAATCCTATAGTAGGGAGGTTAAGCAGAGGTTGGTCAATCCTTTATATAGTAGAGGGGTTATACACACTGTTAGTCAATCCTTTACACAGTAGAGAGGTTATACACACATCCTTTATATAGTAGGGAGGTTAGACAGGCTGTTAGTCAATCCTTTATATGTTGGAGAGGTTATACAGATTGACTTTGTTAATTAATATTTTTTTCTTTATTTATTTAATTTCAGGATAGTTTAAGTACTATGTCTGATTCAACTGTTTCGTCCATGACATCCAGTAAAAAAGATAAAACATGTTTAGTTTGTGGTGATCGAGCTCTTGGATATAACTTTAATGCTATTTCCTGTGAATCATGTAAAGCCTTCTTTAGGCGTAATGCACATAAGGTAAAGTAAAAAAAAAAATGTATATACCATAGTATATACAAATGTTAGTCAATCCTTTATATAGTAGGGAGGTTATACAGAGGTTAGTCAATCCTTAGTAGGGAGGTTATATACACACTGTTAGTCAATCCTTGTTTATAAAAAATTTGTTTTAAAAAAATGTGTTTACATAAATGTCACGCTTTTAGCTAATAAAAGTTTATCATGAATTGTGCTATGGATTTCAAAAAATAAAGAGGTTTATACTGTTAGTCAATTCTTTATATATAGGAGAGAGGTTATATTGACTATTAGTCAATCCTTTATATATACATATTACATGTTTATACAAAATTTGTTTTAAAAAAAATGTGTTCACATAGATGTCAGGCTTTTAGCTAATAAAAGTTTATTAAGAATTGTATTATGGATTTCAAAGAATAGGTATTTGTGGAATGAAACTTTGCAAATGTTATATATGTCCACATTTTATATATTTTGAAAGGGAATTATTGCATCATATATAGAAAAACCATTATCTTGAATCCCTACATAAAAACGTTGGCATATTGCCATTGCCTAACAACATAGTAATTAGATATATATATATATATATATATATATATATATATATATATATATTACAGACTAATTTAAAAATGACCTTTTCTAACATTATAATGTAATTTTTTGGTTTTCTAAGAGAAAAGAATTCATAGAAAAGAGTTACTTTGTTTGGTTTCCTTTGTCGGCTGTGTTACAGAATATTGATTTAAATATCTATGTCCATTCAGATACATTTTTTTTTATGAATAAACATACTTTTTGTAATACTTTGCTGCAAGCGTTCATTACAATTCTACTTCAAACAAAACAATAAAAACGTTTTCTCTTTTATTTATAGACTTTCAGGAAGCCTAATGATTTGAATTATTTTATGTTTTGGATGAATATGGTTTTATTATCCCAGGTTAGGAGCAGAACAGTAGGACGTTAAACCCCATTTCATTTCATTTCAAATCTATATATATATATACAAACCTAGACATAAGGCACCTGTCACAGATTTTGTCCGACACAAAAATATCACACAATGTATATACTATATAACTTACTATAAATTGTGTAATAATTTATGTCTGCCTTATGTCCAGTCTTGACTAAATGTATGTGCACTAGCCACTACTGTAGATTTTCGTGTGTGGACCAATACTTGAAAAAATGTCTCTGCAGAGAAGCACCACCAGGATTTCCCATGAGCTGGTAGTAAGATTGACTATAAGTTTCCTGCTCAAAATTAGTAATGCTTTTTACATTAATTTATGAGACGAAAGATGGATTTAGTATTTTTTATTTATTTTTGTCAGACAATTCGGGGAAGATGTGAAGGAAAATGTGAAGTAACTATTGAATCTCGTTCCTTTTGTAAAAGATGTCGACAAGCGAAATGTTTCTCAGTTGGTATGAGGAGAGATATGATCCTTAGTAAGTATAAACTTATTTAATTATTAACATGTGGATAAAATATAAACTTTTTTCATTATCAACATAAGTATAAACTTATTACAGTATTAACATAAATATAAACTTATTACATTATTAAAATAAAAATTAAGTATAAATTTATTTCATTATTAACATGTGGATAAAATATAAACTTTAAGTATAAACTTATTACAGTATTAACATAAGTAAAAACATTATTACAGTATTAACATAAGTAAAAACATTATTACATTATTAAAATAAAAATTAAGTATGAATTTATTTCATTATTAACATGTGGATAAAATATAAACTTTAAGTATAAATTTATTACAGTATTAACATAAGTAAAAACTTATTACATTATTAAAATAAAAATTAAGTATAAATTTATTTCATTATTAACATGTGGATAAAATATAAACTTTAAGTATAAATTTATTACATTATTAACATAAGTAAAAACTTATTATATTATTAACATGAGGATAAAGTATAAACTTAGTACATTATTTATATGTCGATATCAACATGAAGATAAAGTATAAACTTATTACATTATTAACATAAAAATTAAGTATAAATTTATTACATTTTTAACATAAGTAAAAAAACTTATTATATTATTAACACGAGGATAAACATATTACATTATTAACACAAGTATAAATTTATTACATTATTAACACAAGTATAAATTTATTACATTATTAACACAAGTATAAACTTATTACATTATTAATTTCACAAAGGGAGGTATAAGGGATCTTAAAACAATGAATTGACCACTCTGATATCATAAACCAATCTACTAAATTACAACGAGTTAATCATTACTTTATTAGGAAGTCAATCAACTTGCTTGTCAGCTATAATAACAATCATAAGAATCAGACATGTGGTTCATAATCCGAATAATTAGCACATTTAACGTGAATTTTAATAATAAAAAAAAACCAAGCTTGCTGATTATTCATAACAGTTCCATTAAGTCACATTTGTTAAAATGTGTCGAAAGAAGACGATCTTGTTATGGATTGTGAATCTCGGGAATCGAATCTCAAGTCAATACAAATTCCAAGTAGGTATTAAAATAATAATTGGAACCTGCATTTGATGGTTTCAGTAATCAGTTGTTAATTAAATTAAAATAGTCATTGAATAATCCCCCGATAGAACACCGAGTATCCATAGAAACAGTCATCAAAAATATATATTTTCTCATAGAATCTCCAATCCCAATTCTCGATGACATGTGAATGCATCGGTTGAAATTAGGTCAATAAAGCAGTGATGCTATATTTAGTTTTGAATAGCCTTTACCGTTATGATTATTTATTTTATACATATGCTGACAGAGGCTGAATTTTTGAAATATTGTCAATATTATTGAAGGCTATGGCATAGTGGTACAGAATTTTATTTAATAAAGCAATTTCAATAATGGTTGTCAGTGACCATTGTGCCCTTTGTTTATCATAAAGGAATTACAATGTTGTTTTATTTACATTAACAGATCAAACAGTTTGCACATAAAATATAGACATTGTTGTCATTTGTGTGTAATATTGAATCTCTAATCAATGAATTTTAAATAGTTTAAATAAGAAAAATGGCCAGCTGTTAGTGTTAGCATTTGTAATATCCACATGCTATAATATGTTACACATGCTAATAGTATATGACACCCCAAATCAATATATCCATTAAAGATACATTATGGGAGATTTGATAACGAGTTGGCAGTTCACACTGTAATATTTAAAAACTAGATAAAGTAAAGGCAATTTGCTGAAAGTTGCATTCAAATTGATCCACTATGAACCGAGAACTAAGCGATTAAAATTTCCGCCTAGCCTCGGTCATCATTACTCAAGTCAGTACGATAAACAGCATAGTCTGGATTATCCATTTAATCGTTAAATCATGAAGGAAAGTTATGCAGTAAATCGGCACACAATCCACTAAAGATCGCAGGTTAGCGATGCCATCTAGAGTTGATTATGGTCTGGATAAGTTAATTAATTAATGTCTAATTAATAATTTAGATAACATTTCAGGCCTAAAGAAAGACCTGCAATAGACATATTTAGATCTTGCATAATGTATGTTTAACTGGTCTGCGATATTACTTTGGTGGAAGCGGACGTTAAATAAAGCTATTCATACTCACGCACACCTATCCGATAAATACGAGACTATGCCGGCCCAGTTTCTAATGGCACATGGTTATAATATGACATACTCACGCACACGTATCCGGTAAATACGAGACTATGCCGGCCCAGTTTCTAATGGCACATGGTTATAATATGACATACTCACGCACACGTATCCGATAAATACGAGACTATGCCGGCCCAGTTTCTAATGGCACATGGTTATAATATGAAAACTACTGACATAAATTTGAATATCGTACAGGAATTAAATATGAAAAATAACCAGTTTCTAATGTTGTATATATATATGGTTAAAGATTCATTATTAGTAAGTGCAGGGGGACTGTATGTAAGAGTTAAATATGCCTATTGCAGATCTTTCTTTTGGCCCATAATCAACTCTCTAGAAAATGTGATTTTGAATGGATTGAAACCCTTCGATAATTTAATAATTCAATTTGAAAATGGATAATCGAGACTTTGTTTATGGTAGCAATGAAAATCAAGGCTATGCTATTCTTCAAATGATCTGAACAAAGTAATTGGACTGATATTTGGCTTTTTCATTGTCTTCCTAAGTGTGCCGTGAAATTTTGAAAGGCACACTAAGAAAATGTGAAAAACCATGTGATCCCAATTGAGTATTCACTGGTGTCTACTAAGAAGTTCATAGCTGTGTATTTCCGTATTTAGTTTGGGGGGGTTGGATGGCTGAATGGTTAGCGTGCGCGCGCTGTATCATAAAGTCTGTCATTGAGTCGACTGGCGTGGTTTCGAATCCCCGGTTGTACGTGGCAAGGAGTAGGGTCGCCTGTCCAACCTCGTGGGTTTTCTCCGGGTCCTCCGGTTTCCTCCCACTGCTAAAGACCCCTACGCGCAAGCGAATTATGTAAATAAAATTAAACCATATGTTAGTCCCGAAATGACCTAGTTTGTTTCGAGTGGACGTTAAACCCCATTTCTCTCTCTCTCTTTACTTAGTTTTAGTCATGACTAGTTTTTGTCTACAGTTGTATTCAGTCTGACTTACCACATTTTTATTTTGCAAAATTCAAATATTTTTCATATATACATTTATATATTTAGCCAGGTGTGCCGCTAATTTTTCATGCGTTCCAAGGTGTGCCGTTGACAAAAAAAGGCCAAGAACCACTGGTCTATTATAATGAGAACACCTGTCAGCTCTTTATCTAAATCTTACATAATATATCTTTAAATTACACAGCTTTGCAAAAAGTCAGGGGGAAAAAGGGAAACAGTAAAGTATATTGCTTTTGTTTTAATAGGACAAAGAAGGAGGTCCAGTCGTGTACCCCAATGGACCCTCCATGTGACAATAGAAATAATAACTTTATGTTAATCATAAAATGACCAAAGTATTTCGTTGACAAGATGTAAAATCCCATACCATTCAATTCATGCCAAGTCTATTTGAAAAAAAACCCAAATGTTCGTCTCAAAATGTTGTTGTTTGAAAGGGATGAAAAACCGAGGTCCTGTGTACACATTGGCGTAAATGTAAAAGATCCCTTGGCAGTTAGAATTAGATATAAGAGTAGGCTGTAGGGCTGCTGTCCGAGGAAAATTTCCCTCATGGCAAGTCTATATGAAAAATAACCAAATGTTAGTCTCAGAATGTCGTTGTTCGATTGGGATGAAAAACCTAGGCCCTGTGTACACATTGGCATGAACGTAAAAGATCCCTTGGCAGTTAGAATTCGATATAAAAGTAGGCTGTAGTGCTGCTGTCCGGGTAAGAATTTTCTCATAGCACACTCTATGGCTTATGCCTGTCTTCATTAGCCCAATCGAAGCAGAACAGTAGGACGTTAAACCCTGTTTCAGTTCTGTCTCAAAATGACCAAAGAATTGTGTTGAGGAAATGTTAAAACCAAAACCATTAATCAATATATTACGTTTGTGGAGCCAAGTATGTTTTAAAAACCCCCAACAAAGTATAAGTTTTGACAAGCTGTTTCATTACATTTGTGCTATGTTGATTTAGAAATGAAATGAAATGACGTACTATTCTGCTCCGAGTGGGCTAATAAAGATAGGATATTGAGATTGAAGTACATTTAAGGTTCATTGAAACTATTCATCGCTTGATTTCCCTCTGTTTCATTGGTGCAGAATAATTATGTGGTGAATTAATTCACCATGTTATCTAATCAAATTCAGATATTTTTTGTCCGACTAGGTTTATCTAAGTTTAGTCTCTTTTATTTACCTCAACTAATGGATTAACAATACCTGACTTTTTAGTGGTCTAACACTTGAGCTTTAGATCACAAGGTCCGTCGTGGTTTTTTTCCGGGTTCTCCAGTTTACTCCCACTGCTAAAGCCCCCTATGCGCACACGAATTATTGAAATAAAATTGAACCAGATGTTAGTCCCGAAATAACCTAATTTGTGTTGAATGGATGTTAAACCCCATTTTTTTCTCTCTCTCTCTATTTGTATTTGCAAGGAACAATATAGCTATACCTCTAATAATTCTGCACTCTCCTTTTCTAATTAAGCTACAATGTTCAAACTTGGTGTAGGTGTTTATTAGGTAAATGCCTTGATGGAGTTCGAAGATGAGCATTTTCTGCTTAGGGTAAGCAGAGATAAGCAATTTGATTGGTTGATCCTTTGGGACACGATATCTTTAGTTCTAATTAAGTGAGAGTGATGAAACTTGGTGTATAATTTCATTACATCAATACCATGACTAAGTTCGATAATGAGCATTTTCTGCTCAGGGTAAGCAGAGCGATAAGCAATTTGATTGGTTGATGCTTTGGGACACAACACTCCTTCTAATTGAGGTAGAATTTCTAACGGTAAGCAGAGATAAGCAATTGGATTGGTTGATGGAGTTCGATTATGAACATTGTCTGCTTACGGTAAGCAGAGATAAGCAATCTGATTGTTTGATGCTTTGGGACACTATAACTTTGGTTATGATTAAGTGAGAGCGATGAAATTCTGAGTATAGATTCATTATATCATTACCTTGACTAGCTATGTTCAATGATGAAAATTTTCTGCTTAGGCTATAGCTAAGGAGCAATAAGCAATTTGATTGGTCAAGACTTTGAAACATAACAACTCTCTGCTTTTAACTGAGGTAGAATGTTTAAACTTGATGTAGATGTTCATTAGGTGGATGTCTTGACTGAGTTCAATGATTAACATTTCGAGCTAAAGCTAAGCAGAGGTAAACAATTTCATTGATCGTTGCTTTGGGGCAAGATAACTTTGATTCTATCTGATAGAGAGTGATGTAACTTAGTGTATAGTTGATAATCAGTTTGATTGCTCAATACATTTGAAAAAAATAAATGTGAGATTAAATAATATGTTTCATCTATTTATTTTGGTATTTCAGCGGGGGACATCAATCTCACTGTTGGATTGTTTAAAGATGGGTTCCCAAGTACAAACTCGGTGATTTAATGGTATATATGGACCAAAAATATATTCAAACTAATTAATTTGTCATAATTATGTTTCAAATCCTTCTCAAACATTGTAATTGCGAAGGAATGCCCTGCAAAATTCATTGCATACATAAGACGATGTTGTCTTTAATCGCTTACTATTTATTACAAATATCGAATCCTAATTCATTTCTCGGATTATCCACTACCCGCGTCTTTTTCCGTCATTTTGTTATCTCAGAAAGAATTGTACGTCTAACTCTTCATAAAGTTTATCAACTTGTATCAAGCGCTCAATATTTGCTTGTGACCCTTGACATTATGCGTGCAGAAGTTCCTAATCGTCGGGCTGTTGATTAGGGGAACCCTTACATTTTTGTCCTGTATACGCTCCATGAGTGTTTTTCGGGGAATCCAGTACTTTTCTAGTAAGATTGGATATCTCTACTTTCCATATATACCAAAATTGCCATACTTTTATTGGAAATAACCACCCGATAAATACTTTTCTGGGAACCCATCTTTAAGCCAGAAATAAGACCTACAATAGGCAGATTTAGCTCTTATATTTAAATATGCAATGTAAATTTATCATAGAATTCTCCTTAAGCATCAGTCTATTTTGTAAAAAAAAAGAAATCATGTCAAAATATAAATAAACATCCAGAGAGTAATGACCTGTGATTGATTCCCTTCTGGGTTTGCAGGAAATACAGTTATTATGTTATTGAATATTGAAGAGTCATTAGGTCCAATAAATCACAAATAGCACATAATAACTACTAATAATAAGAAGTAAATATTGATATTAATATTGGCGACTCAGGCTGAGTTTAAATATATTGATATTAATACAGTACATTGTAAAGATTGCTGGTTAGGGAAACACTCACATTTTTATCCTGTATGCGCTCCATGGCTGTTTTTCACGCTATTCAGTATTTTTCTAGTAAGACTGAATGTTTTTTACTTTCCATATATACCAAAATTGCCACACTTTGATTGGATTTTAGAATTATCAATCATATAATTCACTCGTTTTTTTAAATGTTTACACATTTCTGTGTGTATTTCTAAATTAGTTCTTCTCAAGACATTTTATGGAATAACAAATACTGGTTTATAACCATGCAACATTTCCACGATGATATTCTCGTCTTAATCAAGTACATAATAACATAGAGAGAGAGAGAAGAATGGGGTTTAACGCCCACTCGACTCAAACTAGGTCATTTTGGGACTAACATATGGTTTTATTTTATTTCAATAAATCGCTTGCGCGTAGGGGTCTTTAGCATTTGGAGGAAACCGGAGGACCCGGAGAAAACCCACGAGGCTGGACAGGCGACCCTACTCCTTGTCACGTACAACCGGGGATTCGAAACCACGCCAGCTGACTCAACGACAGGACTTATGATACAGCACGCACATGCTAACCATTCGGCTATCCAACGCCCCAAAATGATAACATATAAGTGTGGGTGTGAAATAGGTTTATTTAATGTCCAAAAGTGATATCAGTGACAAAACGTACAGTAAAACCCTAAGTATATATAAATAGTAAAAAGAAGTCAGTCTTATATTTATATATATATATATATATATATATATATATATATATAATAACAAGTACTTGATCCAAATAGTTACTATGTACTTGATCAAAACGATGTAATCAGCTGATTGGTACTTATAATAATAAACCTTAAGGAATTATAATGGAAAAAGGAAGCCCTAAATCAGGGGTCACCAAACTACGGCCCGCTGAAAAAGAAAACATGATTTAGCTTCTTACATAACACATATTGTTTTTATTATTTTGTGTATTTCATGTATTGATAAATAAATAGAATGATCATTAACCTTATTTTTTGTGTACATTCAGTGTATTCTGTATTCACTGTATTGTATTGAACAAAATATTTATCTGGCCTGTGCTCGGCATTCATTCAGTTATATCTGGCCCACCATGAAAAAAAAAAGGTCTGGTGACCCTTGCCCTAAATAAATACATATAAATAGCTATAGACTGAGTTAATACAAGTCTTTACAGTAAAATAGTTACTATATATTAAACAAGACTCTAATAGAACAAGTCTTTACAGTAAAATAGTTACTATATATTAACTCAAGACTCTGATATAACATGTCTTTACAGTAAAATGGTTACTATATATTAACCCAGACTCTAATATAACAAGTCTTTACAGTAAAATAGTTACTATATATTAACTCAAAACTCTAATATAACAAGTCTTTACAGTAAAATAGTTACTATATATTAACTCAAGACTATAATATTACAAGTCTTTACAGTATTTCTGTGTTTGATATTAAATTGAAGTATATTTTTGTATATTTTTAGATGATCATCAGAAAAAAGCTCGAAAACAGAAAATTATCATCAATAAATTACGTCGTCAAGGACACATGCCACCCGAAGACACTTATTCTGTGGGACCAGGAGACTTGCCGCTATGGTCAAAATCACAACCAGATAGCCAATTAATTTCGGTGAAGCAGGAGAACTCTAATTCACCATCCTCATGTAGTTTCCCAACATCCCCCGAACCGATCAAATATCCCGCATGGGCTGAATCTCAGAATGTGGTTAAGGCAGCCATCGAGTCGCTTAACGATCGACATAGGTTGGTTCTAGAAGAACTACTTCATGCCCATGAGGTCAGTTGCTTCCTCACAGGAACCTCAACTTCCCTCAAAATGAACCCGTCAAATCCAGAAGAGTTTGTCAATATTGCGGAAGGTTTCGTTCGTAGAATTATCAAGGTGGCAAAAAATATCGAAAGCTTCAAGAAACTCGTAAAAGATGATCAAATATGCTTGTTAAAAGGTGCCGTTGTTGACGTCATGATGTTACGTTCTGCGGTGAACTACGACCCTCAAACGGAAAGTTGGAGTTTAAGTACTGTGAATTGTATTAAGCCTGATGTCACTGGCGCTGCCAGTCCATCAACTTCAAATACAACAGCAGAGTCCAGCAGGATCAGTGCTAGTATTTTAAAATCCGGAAATGCTGAAACTCAGCATCTGTTCATGACTTATTCCAAGTTTATTAAATCACTCATGACGACGATTCACGGAGATTTGCTCATTCTTAAAGTCCTGATTATGATGTCTTTGTACTCTGCTGACCGAGGAGAGCTTGTGAATAGGCACATGGTACACGAAATTCAGGAGGAATACGCTGAAATCTTACAAAATTACACATTGTTTCGGTTTCCAGAAGATAAAACGCTGTTCGCGAGGGTTGTCATGAAATTGACGGATCTTAGGAATATCAATGAAGTTCACACAAAAATGTTGCTCAAAATGAAATTAGACGATATTGAACCTCTGCTTTTGGAAATATTTGACCTCCCTTCATGACCTCTCTATGACCTTTACCTCTTTGTGATCTTAACTACTGGAAACCTCGTTAAAAAGTGTGCAGCTTGGAATATATTTGTTCTTGTTTTTATTGACAAATTATCCTGTGTTGAAAATATAATTATTATTATTATTATTATTATGGGATATTTTAAAACATATCTATACCTTTATATATCTATATATATTTTAGGTGCGTGTTATTATTAGGAAAGGGAGATAACTATTGTGGGATCTCTTCATGGGGAGATAACTATAATGTTTACTATGTTAATTGTTAACTGGATAAATCACAAGTGGATTAAAGTGTATCACGGTTGTACTATATATATTTGTGTATATAATTGGTAAATGTACATAGAACTAACTTTACGATATTGTGCGAACACTTCACAATGCCTGTCATCCCCATTGCCATGGGGAGATCGAAACACGATGCCTGGTGTAATAGTAGCTGCCTTATTATTATAGAAGTAGAGTGCCATTTATATTTACCATAAAGAGATTTTTTGACTAGGAGAATTCTTGAGAGCGGGTGTGCATTATATTTTGAAAACAAATGGCAACCATATCATGTGATGATCGTAATGAACATGTTGGTCTAGGGTGATTTATTTTTTTTCGTTCAATCTGTCTTTACATTGGATGTGGTTTCGGTTGTTGTCTGCGATATCGCGTCAGTGGAAGTGGACATTAACCGATTCTAACGAACGAACGGTTTATGGTTCGATATTCCGTGACCAGATCATCTGTCAACAAACTGTCTCAAAGCGCAACACGATAGCCAATAGAATTTAATGAATAAATGAAATGAGGTTTAACGTCCTACTTTTCTGTTCCAACTGGGATAATGAAGATGGAGATAAAAGGGAGATCAAATCTGCTGTGGGCCCTTTCATATCTGAAGAGTGGATTTATTTTACAGCATCACTAATTTTTAAGACAAACAAAGTTGTTAAATCGTATATTATAATTTGAAGATATTGTTGAATGTGGTTTTGAATATCTTCCCCCTTCCATGTTATCCTGGATGAATACGAGTTTGACTGTAGTAATAGTGGAATATCCGCAATGTTCTCCCCAGGATGTGTATATACCAGTCTGTCTATAATTAGTGGAATATCGACCGAATTTTATTTAAAATATTGCTGATTTTATTTTTATTTTTCTACATTTTGTGTTTCATTAATTAGTTTGTTGACAATTTACCTAATTTTGTATTTTATTAATTAGTGCTAATCTGTTCACAATTCTCTGGATGTTGTGTTTCATTATAAATTAGTGCGAATTTGTTGACAATTCTGTGTTTCATTAATCAGTGCTGATTTGTTGATAATTTACCATATTCTGTGTTGGACTGTAATTAATTAAACATCACCTGTGTGTATATTTTTAAAATGGCACTTGTTAAAATCTCATACAGATGTTCGGCCATAGGTCTGCTTGTGCACACAAAGTGAAAGTAGAGAAATGCTTAGTGTATGTAGTTAATCATTAACATATAATCTGTGTATTCCCAATCTATAGAAGGGGAGCTAGTGTTATCTATACATATTCTGTCGTGTGTAAACCATAAAATTATTGCTTGTCTGAAAATCACACTTGATTTTGTAATGCACACTTTTTAGTTATAATGCATATTTATTTAAATTTAGCCAACAGTATCCCGGAACCGGTCGAAATATTGAAAGCACAAGGGTAGTCAATCGTTGGACACCACTTATTAGGCGTTCTCATTGGAGGAATGATTGCATTGGCTCACTTTAACCCAGATACACACAATTACTGGTGAGGTTTTAATCACTCCCTTGAAAAACCGAAAAGATACAATCAAGTCAGGGACATATTTCAGATGTTTCCATGATTAATAGTCAATCTAAATTACATCGAAAATCATCAAAATATGTCAAACAGCCGCAACATCCAGTTTTTTTGGGAAAGTGATTTTGCAATATGATTAAAACACAGATCCTATTTCGTTTCGTTTTTTATAGTTCAAAATTTCGTTTTACTTGTCATTACTACACCTAGGATCTGGAAGAGTTGTTATATAACCCGCGTTCTGCTTGATGTGAGGAATCAGCCAATGAAATGGTCTGTTACAGTGAGTTCTTGACGTCAACGCTGATTAATTAATCAATGTCAAAAGCCGCTCGTACGACCCCTGATACGACCTTCCAGTACAATGAGTCAGATCTTGATGTAGTGTAGGCCATCGAAAGTATAAAAAAAACGAAACGAAATATAAATCTGTAATTTAGTCAGATTGGTGATTGGGAGACTCGACCCAAGTTGGGGGGGTTGGATGGCCGAATGGTTAGCACGTGCGCGCTGTATCATAAAGCCTGTCATTGAGTCTACTGGCATGGTTTCGAATCCCCGGTTGTACGTGACAAGGAGTAGGGTCGCCTGTCCAACCTCGTGGATTTTCTCCGGGTCCTCCAGTTTCCTCCCACTGCTAAAGACCCCTACGCGCAAGCGAATTATTGAAATAAAGTTAAACCATATGTTAGTCCCGAAATGACCTAGTTTGTGTCGAGTGGACGTTAAACCCCATTTCTCTCTCTCTCTCCCAAGTTACTGTTGGCTATTTTTATATATATATATATTATCTTTTTTTGTTTAGCTGTCCCGGTATTTGAAAATCTGCAGGCCTGATGTATATAATGAATTACTGAACTGATTGCTTTGTTAGGAAGTACATGTAGCTTAAAGTAACTTTGTTACGACGTCTTTAACTCAATATCATTCACAGCCTTTGACATTGCAAACACGACTTATTGGTCAATTTAAATCAACATTGATGTTTTTATCTTACCGTTAAAAGATGGTCTCCTGATATTCAATATTTAAGACACAGTGAACATTTTAATATTGGCACACAAATCGATTGCCAGAATGCTTTTGAGTGCCATTTGTTATGATGCGACTCAATAAAAGAGGCTAAACATATCCCAGGGAGAATACTACCGGTGTAGACCAGACGTCAAAGAATGCTACTCAATTTACATTCTCTGCGTATTTCGCCGAATATAACTGATTAGAATTTACAGTAAAAACATAAACAATTGATTGTTAATCAGTTTATATACATTCATATTACATTGCGACCCATTTATGTCTATTTCTAGATGCCAAAAATTTAAAACATAGCTCCTTTAAAGGGAAAAGTAACCCCAAACGTATAACGATTCAAAAAAAGACAATTCCCCTGCTGACCACTAAAACGGACTATAAGATCTGGCTGGAGATATTGTTAGTGATGAATATTACCCATGAAGTTTATTGTCGTTGATATTTTATTTGTCATTTTTGTACGGAATTTAACGCCATCATTTTATTGACCGGTAAATCATTTAAACCTCTCAAGTGGCCATATTTTTACGATACTTGTGAAATGTTTAAATCTTGATATATCATTATTTATTTTTATCGTGTTTCACATTTCATGCATAATAACATCAATCTAAAGCAAAAAATGACCGGGGTGGAGTATATTTCGTCATGTTACAGAATAGAAAAGTGTAGGAGAATAAATGAGACTATTATTTATTAACAGATTTCTCATATAAAAAAAATGAATATTCAACAGTCACCATATTTTTATAGTTGATTGTTTTGAGGGGTGTTATGTTTATTTCGTTATGTTACAGAATAGATAGAGGATATTTGTCGTTTTAGAGTGAATAACATATTTTATTTCATCGAGAAGCAAGAAAACTTATCTTTTCACGAATGCGTAGCATGAGTGAAAATATAAAAGTTTTCTTGCTTAGAGATGAAATAAAATATGTTATTCACGACAAAACGACAAATGTTCTATTTATTTTATGATTTTACAATCATTTTAGGTAAAAATAACTAGCCAGTGAAATAACACTTTTATTTCACTGATAAAACGCGGTATTCCACTACTGATCGTAAAATAAAAAGGTTTATGAAATATGCATTATGCAAGAGCTAAACTGCCGATTGCAGGTGTTTCTTTAGGTCTTAAATGTTACCAAGACCATAACCAACTCTTGAAGCCATCGGATTGCTCCGATATTAAGTAGATTCAAATACGTTTTGTGGTTTACCTTAAACCCCATTTCATTTTCTGTAGGATTTCCATGTATATTTGTGTGTGATGGTATCCCCCTTCACTTACTATTAGATATTTATTTACTTGGCAAGCCCATAATCAATTTTTCGCTAGATTTTAATGAACGATCTATGCTATATGTCCAAACAGTCATAACTTCGCTCAGACTAAAGAAATTTGAATAAAATTTTCAAAATAGTAAACTTTTTTGGACTACGTTAGAGGGGTAATTTCTCTCTTCGGATATAACTGACTTTGAATGATTCTTTAATATACCGTAACATAAATATACATATATGTATATCTTCATACAGTACTGACAGGCCATGGTTACTGCACTTTGTAAGGTAGCCTAATTAGTGACTCTTATCAATGTACAAATTTGTTATATTTAAGGAAAATCAGATAATAGAATAAAAGTAAATGTTGTAATTAAATCAGATATGTCAATAGATGAACAATGCATAAAGGATTGAAAAAAACAAAAATAATAGATGGGATTAACGTCGTTACCTAATGACGGCTTGAAAAGTGATGAAAAGTTAACGACTTAACTAGCAGTTGATCTTAAAGTGGTTAATTTCAAGTTGCAATTTCATATTTTTACGTTATATTTTTAAAATGTATAAAATAAAACCTTAAAATAGATGTTATCTATAAACAGTCCTACCTTGTTAAAGAATAATCCTATTAATCCTATAATTCACTATTGCAAGTTGAGAAATTGGCAAAAATATCATTTTCCTCTTCAAATTCAAACGTTTGAAGATAGCTACTCCATGGTAGAGAATAAAAAACAAGGGAGGTAATTGTGTTATTATTTCCGGTGTAAATGAATTTTAAGTGTGAGAATGACACCTATGATCGTATAATAGTGAGTTGACAACCTATTGAGCAAAAGACATAGAAATAATTATGTTTTTACTTTCTTAGAAAATATGAAATTGTAACTTTAAGACACTTTAATTATCTTAATTAGCGATTGGCAGATTATCACACCATTATATTACTATAGAAAAAACATCCGGCTCTTTTATCTAAATCTAACATAATACATCTTAAACAATGTCTATAGATCTCTCTAACCTCGTGGGTTTTCTCTGGGTCCTCCGGTTTCCTCCCACTGCTAAAGACCCCTATGCGCAAGCGAATTATTTAAATAAAATTAAACCATATGTTAGTCCCGAAATGACCTAGTTTGTGTCAAGTGGACGTAAAACCCAATTTCTCTCTCTCTCTCTCTCTACTATAGATCTCTTCGATTCCAATCGGATTAAAACACAGATCCTATTTCGTTTCGTTTTTTATAGTTCAAAATTTCGTTTATTTGCCTTTACTACACTAGGATCTGGAAGAGTTGCTATATTACTGGCGTTTTGGTTGAAGTGAGGGATAAGCCAATAAAACAGTCTGTTACGGCAACTTCTTGGCATGCAAATGCACGGAACTGTAGGTAAACCACTAGAAACGCCAATGGTGATTGCTTAATCAATGTCTGATGTCATAGGATCAAAAGTCGTTTGTACAACCTCAGACGCGACCTATTACTACAACCAGTCAGATCTTCATGTATAAAAAACCGAAATATAAATCTGTATTTTAATCCGATTGGAAATCTTCAAAACAAACTTACCTTTTATTGACGTCAGAAACCCTAATTTGTTTGAATTTCGATAAGAAAAAATGAATCTCTTTTTCAATTACTTAAGATTATTTTTGGGTCGAATTTAATTATCATAGTTCTTGAAAACATGTTGCTTCATTTCCCTTTACTGTATCTTTTTTTTGCTGTTCTCTTTGTTGCTGTGTCCTTGAACAAGAGATGTTTTTGTAATATCTCAACATTCAGTTAACTTTGATGTACGATTCTATTTAAAGCGTGGATCAAAGATGTATGATTTAGATAAAGCGATTGAAGCTATTGAAAATTTCTGTCAAATTACTCTATTCTGAGCGAAGTTTATAGTTTTGACAAGATTTTATCAGACCTTTTCAACATTAAAGAGGCATTATGGGAAGTTAGATAAAGAGTTAGATATACATGTAGTAGTTCAAAAACAGATAATGTAAATAGAATATGTTGAAAATGTCAGTCAAATTGCTCCACCCTGAACCAAAGTACTGTATTAGCTTTTGAATTTTTTGATTTAATCATCAATGGGTGTTGAGCAGCAGATCGGATTCAAATCCAGTGAAAATCCGACACATAAGATGACATCGAGAGTTGATTATGGTTTGGATAAGTTAATTAATGTCTAATTAATAGTTTATAGAATTGCAATAGGCAGATTTAGCTCTTGCACAATGGGTCAATTCAAGTCCTGGGTTATGGTGGTGTAGTGTGTAACACCAGTTAGATCAGTGTAGCACTGGTGTAACGCTGTGCTAACTCAACCTCAGACCCCTGGGACTTGAATTGACCCAATGTATGTTTAACCAATTAAATCTCAACCATCCAATGTTCTTGAGAGTTGATAAATATATAAATACTAATTTATATCACATTCAAAGCCAGAAAAAAATATGAACATGGCAAATTTGGATAATTGTAAAACAATTTGACTTGCGTCATGATTAGTGCTAAATGATAAGGCCATCTCATTTATTTGTCATAGGTCACGAGATGTAAACGGGGCTAGCGCTAATCCCAACCTTAACCTTATACCTGGACCTAGCCCCAATGCTAACCCTAACCCTAACCTACAATCTTGCTAAAAATTAGGTGCCCTAAACTTATTTACATCTCAACGACCTGGCCTTAACAAAAAGATTTAGCCCTTGCATCATGGGTGTGTGGGGAGGAGCTGCAGGCCTACATCATATCCCATGATATGCAAATTACTTGTGCACTTTTTCAGAATGAAAGACTAAATTGACGCATCTGCATTGAGTTATAAAATGTATCATGCAAGCTTATCATTAGTTTATGGATGCAAAATTTAAGTGCAATGCAAAAAGATGAAATATTTGTGCATTTATGCATAAAGTACATCCGTGTTAATCCACTCAGTGATGTGGTATTATTACTGCTTCTTTGTCACTAATGGCCAATTCTTGTCGGGGAAAATGTAGCCGTCACGTTTCATTGACAATGGTTCTTTATACGAGTCATATTAACCAGTCTCGACCAGCTGAAGAACTTTTGTTAGTCGATTTGTGCCATAAGATTAAAATTTTAAACGAATTTGACCATTGTTGTTGTACTTAGTGTTTAATAACTTGTCTTATTTTTATTTTTATTATCTTGGCGCACGCGCAGGGGTCTTTTCTGTGGGACGAGGTTGAAAAGGTGCTCCTATCTTCAAGCCACATACGCTCACATCAGGGATCGAAAGCCAGAGGTGACCAGATAGCTAGAGGTCGAAGCGTGACACTCTAGACCATATCCACGCCCCCCCCCCCCCCCCCGGGTCTTATATCAATATATACCCTAGACAGCAAATGGCAGTCACAAATATTAGTATAGCTAGATATTTAAGCACTTAACTGTACAGCATATAGAAATTGTGATAATGCTGATAATTGTTATTTTCTACACAAAAAAAATATATATATTGCTTTTCCGAGGTGAACAAAATAGCCTACATCCAAATGTGATGTGAAAGGCCAGTTCTGTATAATTTATACCTACACAATACAGTAGTTTGGCCAATCTGTATAAAATACAGATCTATATTTCATTTTGTTTTTTTATACTTTCAATGGCCTACGTAGTGAAGACAAGTAAAACGAAGTATTGTACTATAAAAATACGAACAAATAGGATCTGAGTTTTAATCAGATTGGTAGCTTGGCCTGGGAGTTGTGTTTGGGCTTATAGGATCAATATTGTACATAAATAATTACCGATAATCAGCCAACACATCTTGCCTTCATTTTATTCTGCCTATTTTTATTTTCACTTAATGTTGACAAATAGTTAATGGTGTTCACTCGTCTACTTGATAAGATCACTTGGTGTTAACAATATAATTATTTTAAGTTGGAATTCGTAGAGCTGAAAGTACAGTGGTATACCACTAATATCATTATTTGAATGGATACAGCTTTCATCATGTAATTAACCTGTTTTCATCATCCACTTGTTTATAATTAGCTGTTAGAGAGAGAAAGAGAGAGAGAGAGATCCACTCAACAAAACTAGGTCATTTTTAGACTAACATATGTGTTAATTTTATTTCAATAATTCACTTGCATGTAGGGATCTTTAGCAGTCTGAGGAAACCAGAGTAAACGATATATTTTCATGTTTTATATCTGGGCTCTCATTTCGATGCTACTTGCCAGTCTTGATCGACTTACTGGCAGTGAAATTGACAGGCAGAATTTAATCTCAAAATACAATTAAAAGTAGGACCTACTTAAAATACAGATGTGACGTCACCCTTTGATGTAGTTCAGCTCCGAACGTAGGTCTCATTACACTCAATCGTACATTATCTATACTAGATGAAATATTGGACTTGTGTGACGTATTTCATTGAAAAGCACGTGCGGGATAGTGTCTGTATTCTAAGTTGTTTAATGGTCTTGAGCTTAAGACATTGCGTAATAATATATTGAAACAACACAAGGGACGAAGTCCCGAGCTGTGGTTTCAATATATTACGCAATGTCTCGCCCTCGACCATTAAACAATACATAAACATAATCGTGATAATGCCACATATTGTCTTATTCTTGGGAAATATTATCCTTTTGATCCAAGGTAAAGAAAACCCCCAGTCTGTGTCATAAATTATGTGAGTTACATAAATATAGCAGGTCTAACTTAAACATACATTATGTTTTAAGTTTTAAAATTTAAACATACAATATGCAAGAGCTAAATCTGCCTATTGCAGGTCTTTCTTTAGGCCAGAAATGTTATATAAATTATTAATTAGACATTAATTAACTTATCCAGACCATAATCAACTCTCGATGACGTCGGATTTCTCCAATATTAAATAGATTAGAACAGTTCAGCCATATTTTGATTGAATCTAAAAATGGAGGAGCGAGACTTAGCTTCGAACAACCAGTGCGGTGGTTGAAATTATTGGACACATCTTGTCAAACCTTCAAAGGTTAATATCTTCGCTCGCAATAGAGAAATTTGAATAGGCAGATTTAGCTTGTGAATAATGTATGTTATCAATTTAAATTTATGTTCTTTATGAATACATTAAAAATCCTGATTCCTATTTATTCTGGGAAAAGAAAACAATTAAATACAAACAGTTCCAAATTTTTATGTTAAAAGATTTTAAACAAAACATCCTTTATTAGACTTAATTTGATATTTATTTATTAAGAATTGAAATGAAATTGGGTTTAAATGACCTACTTTTCTCCAACAATCGGGCTAATGAAGACAAGATCACAAAGAACTAAACATGAATTTCTTTCAATTTATATAAACAGGCCTTTATTAAATTTTGTAAATATTCCCAACTCTATATTTTATAGTGTGGAAATTGCAGTTTTTAGTTAAATTGTTATGGTCAGTTATACTAGATATAAGTGTTACAGTATTTTATTTTTACTTTTATTTTTGGGATGTCATGTTTTAATTAACTACATTTATAGAGTGCTATTATGTTCTTTAAAAGGCATTTAGTGATAGCGATATATAATGATATATAACTTAATAACATAATAACAGATAGCTTTATGGATAACATTCACTAGAGTGCTATTATGTTCTTTAAAAGGCATTTAGTGATAGCGAAATATAATGATATATAACTTAATAACATAATAACAGATAGCTTGATGGATAACATTCACTCGGTTTATTAACATTCTTACCAATATAAAGCAATGGACTAGGTTTATTAACTGCAACGTTCCAATAGGACACTCACTGCACACGGTGAGAGTGTCCTCATTGAAACGTTGCAGTTAATATACTTAGCCCATTGCTTGATAACAGTGAGATTATCCTCATTGCAGTTAATAAATCTAGTGAATGTTATCCATAATAAAGCTGTCTGTTATTATGCTATTAAGTTATTTTACTCGACACAGTTTTGGGATGGTTGAGAGGGGTCCAGTGGAGCAATTATGGCCGGGTGAGTAAGGCACTGGTTCACTACCCAACAAATCGATCCTGATGTTGGCCTAGAAATTTTTCCAGTCATTTATTAGGATGAAGTATTATACCCCCAAAATGTTCTCATTACCAAATGGTATGCCAGTAAGAATGAAAACTCTGTGCTATATCAGATGAAATTCTTAATTAAAGCTAGCCCAGTACAATCCCCCTTTAATTAATATTCTTCTAAAAAAAATAATATTAATTTATAAATGTAAATAAACTTATATTATTGTTTTTATTTAATTCGTTATTTTTGATAAAATATCTTTTTTGTTGGGAGTCTTTTAAAATTGATATGTTTATCCAGGATTATGTGATTTTATGATAGTGCTAAAATAATGAAATGTTTAATGATATTTAATTTTAATATGATTGTGTTTTAGTCCGGTTGGCATCTAATATAATACCTGTGAAATCACATTATTATTTGTTATAAAAAAAACCCCAGCAGCTTATATATGTGTATATGTATGTAAAATTCATGTTTCTAATGTCTAATGAGTTGATTATAAAAAAGGACTATTTTGGCAGTTTGAACTATTATAGCAAAAACGACCTGGCGCCTAGTTCACAAAGCATTCTCAGACTTAAGTTAAGAATTAACTCCACTTTCAAGCACTGTTTATGGGAAATATCTTTGATCCAGAAACACAAAACTTTGCACATAGTTTCTTATTGATGTATTTGATAAATTAAAACAAAAGTTTTGTAAAGGGCTATATTTTTTTAGTACATACTTAAGTCTGAGAATGCTTTGTGAACTCGAGACCAGCTGTTTATCTCAATCTTACATAATGCATATTTAAGGTTTCATTAGTGATCTTTTCTTTTTTTTGTAATTTTTATTTCTTACAACCTGATACAAGCACATTATCTTATTTCGTTGTTTAATGGTTCAGATTTGATTTTATTTGTCTGCACATAAAAACCATTGAAATATAAACCTTGTAACGAATGGGTAGATAAATATTTTAATCGGATTGTCACTATTGTAAATATGTTGATAGGATTTCAAGCGCAGCATAATCAAAGCCTATTCTTATTGTCATCAGGTTGTCACGTTCTTGCCAAGTCTGTAAATACCAATTTTAAATGTCAGGCCCAGACGTAAATATATTTTTTTTGTTTCTTTAATTAAACTTTGCTTAACTTTAACTCTCAAGTCTAAATGGGTTTTATTGTAAAAACGCATAATAAATTCTACAAATAGACTTGATTGTCAAACTTGATGTGAAAAAAAACCCCCAAAACATTAAATTCTACAAGCGTCATTGCACCTTGGGCATTAAAACGAGAACAATTTTTTTTATAGCTTGTGGACGCACTAGAGGCAAAAGTTAATAGCCGATTGACTATAAATTTAAACACAGTGTTTAAGGTCATGAGACGAGGAATCCTATTGATTTTCAACGATTTCTGAAAATTAATGCCAGAGTTATGGCCCTTGATCACTTCGAAAAATTTGTGGAAGCTCTAGAGGTTAAAGTTAATATCCAATTATCTTTATATACAGTGAAGAATGCGAGGTAGGGGAGGTTTGCCCATAATTAATCAGTCGTCAATCATTATTCCAGGATTAACCACGTGCCACAAGTAACCGGGGTTATCATATATCAATCATTGTGTCATAAGTAATCATGTTTAGGAATCATGGTTATCAATCAGTGTGCCACACGTTACCATGGTTATCAATCATTGTGCCATAAGTAATCATGTTTGGAAATCAATGTGTGCCACAAGTAATCATGGTTATCAATCAGTGTGCCACGAGTTACTACGGTTATCAATCAGTGTGCCACGCGTTACCATGGTTATCAATCATTGTGCCACACGTTACAATGGTTATTAATCATTGTGCCACATGTAAATATGGTTATCAATCATTGTACCACAAGTTACCATAGTTAGCAATCATTGTGCCACAAGTAACCATGTTTATCAATCATTGTGCCACACTTAATCACGTTCCATATTATCCATCAATTATTGTACAGCTAGTAAATATTTTTATCAGTTCTTCTTTAAGCGATTTCTAACCACTGTCATTGTTTCATGAATGAATATGTTGAATTGTTCCAATACTGTTACCTGTGAATATATTT